GAAAAAAAAAAAAACCACGACTGAAAGACATCAGAGGTGTGTTGTGGTATATCAGGTGAAGCCACTGCTTACAATGCCAACACCCATAAGGTTGCCTGGTTCATATCCTGGATCTTCCACTTCAAACCCAACTCCCTGTTAAGGCCTTGGCAAAGTGTCAGATGATGTCCCTAGTGTTTGAGACTTCTGCACCCACATGGTAGACTTAGAAGATGCTTCTGGCTTCTGGCTTTGACCTGGCCCCAGTTCTGGCTGTTGCAGCCACTTGAGGAGTAAACCAGTGGATAGGGATGTGTGTGTGTGTGTGTGTGTGTGTGTGTGTGTGTGTGTGTGTGGTTCTTTCTCTGTACCTCTGACTTTCAAAATGAATAATAAATAAGTCTTTATTTAAAAAAAAACCTTAAAGAAGGATTTGGAATTGATATGTGTGCTTACTTGATTTAAATTCTCTCTTATTCTTTGCACAAAGCACAGCCTAAAAGTGTTGGAATACCTTGCATACATACATATGTGAGGAATGAAGTAAAGACTAGTCTGTATTTACCAATGGAAATTAAATACATGACAGGTGGTATAAGACTAACTGGCATGTGACAATTTAGTTGAGGTTCTAACCATCTATTTTGACCTAATTCCTAAAGCAAGTCAGTTCCTGAAGAATGACAAGACTAAAAAACCCAATAATTTTATCTTAGGAAACAAAGTCTAAGAGGTGTGAGACAGCTGGTGAACAAATTGTGATGAAAAAGGCCTGGGGTCGATTTTGAAGTATTTGTTTTGACTCCACATTCTATAAGGTGTCAGAAAACAGAACCTGAGACTCATGGGGCTTAAGGCTCTCTCTTATGAGCCTGTCCAGCAATAGAGATGTACCCAGTGGCACCATAAATGGAAGCTTTCATCTGCCCATGGGGGAAGGATGCCAGAAATATGAGACTGGATGGCAAAGGCGAGGGCGTTTGAGATGCACGGAATTACCTGAGCCAGGAAGGCAAGAAATGAACGGCCTCTGTATTACTATGCAGTTGGTAGCTAATTTCTTCAGTGAAATTCAAATCTGTGCTATTTTCTAGCCTAATTATAACATGAACATGGTAGTTAGATTATTGGAATGTCACTCTATTCAATGTGGAAATGCTTTGTTTAAGAATGTAGCAGATAGAACCAAGCAGAACTTAGAATCCTGCACGTGTGCCTGATGTGCCTGGCTGTTTCTCACAGTTCTCTCCATTTTTGAGTGTGAGCAGAGAAGGGGATATTTCTCCAACCATGAACCTTGGCAAGACATTTCAGTCATAGAGTGAGCAGTGAAACCACATCTTCATTTGAGCTTTGCTAGAAAAAGACTCCTAAAGATCATATGGCTCTTTTCAAAGTTTTTTGCTCAACTCCTGCTGCACTGACTGTAAATAGCATCCCTAAAACAATAAACTTTATGTCAGCCCAGAAAGCAACTTATTTGTCTGTGACACCTAAGGTCCTTCCTGTAAAATTGTCTGTGTGAGTTGAGTCAGTGTTTGAAGTCCTTGCTAAAAACTGTCAACATTTTAGTTATGTTAAATCATCCCAGCATGCATTCTCACCTGACAAATGAGCCATCAGGATATTTCCTACAATCCTATATTCTATAACACCAAGAACACATTGTGTATCTTATATTCAATTATTTACTACTGACTAAGGACCATCATTGGCCCTGTCTCACTAATTTGCCGGAAGTAAGACAAGCACAATGTAAAATGCAGATTTGCTAAAACGGCAGGAATTCTCAAGAAACGGAAGGCAGGAAACCTCTTTAAACATGGGTCAAAATTTGTAGGGCAGGTCAGTGACACTTCTGCATAATACTCCCTTTCCAGTGTTCTTCCCAACAGTAGAAGCTCTGAGTGGATGACACTTTACAGAATAATATCTGCTGTTTTGAAAAATCACACAACATGAATTATATGCTTTAAAAATTAATACAAAAGGATTTAGATCCATGTGGTTTTATTTTAAAATAAGAATTATTAGTATTACTATGGCATGTTACCATACCACCCGTGATTCAGGATATGATTTTTGAATGAACAGATTTTCAAAAGCACCAAAGTTATAGAAGTGTTCCCCAGACTTTCTTGTATTGCCTGGGAAAATACCACAGACTGATTTATAGAAGTCCTTAGACATGACGCTAAAGACAAGCTGTCACAGTGTAAAGCAATTTTTCTTATAAGTCTCTCATATTATATTCTGGAATTTTCAAGTCCACATTAACCCTACATTAGAAATGTTATCATTCAACATGTGTGGTAGCTGCTATGTAGCCACAGAGTAATGTATTTCCTGCATGAGTAAAAATATGCCTACTATAAACACATATATACATTAAATGCAAATCAAGTATCAGGAGGTGTTGAGAACAATATTTAAGCCTTTGCTTTGGTAGTTTTCATCATATCAAAGTGTCTTCGAGTTACAGCTCCACTGCCTTCTCCAACCTCCTGCTAATGTAATCCCGGGGAGGCAGCAGGCAATGGTTTAAGAGCATAGCTCCATGTCACTCACTTGGATTGGCTTGCAGATATTTGGGGAACAAACAAGCAGATGGGAGGTCTCTCTCTTTCAAATAAAACAAATAAATGCACAACTTGTTGAATTCTTTAGTGTGGGTAGGTCAAGCTTATGTTCATAAAAAATTGAAAACATTTCATTGTAATATTTTTTAAAAAATTAAGGAAAGATGGAAGTATGTCAAGGGTAAGCTAGATACTGATTATGTAGTCATAACCTTACCAAACATATGTGAATGATGTAAAAATGACTTTTTTGATCCTTTACAAGATAAATTCTAAAACTCTGAGAAAATCATGTGAACTTTGTAATGAGAAAATTATGTAAATTTTGTGATGAAACTAGTTCATTATAAAATATATATTGAGAGAATAAAGTTTTAAAATACATTCACCTTAATATTCCATGTAATTCAAAAGAGTGAGTGATGAAACAAAGATTTTAGGATATTTGTAATGGCAGCAAGCTTTCTCTTTCTCTTCAAATATTTGCTTAGTGAAACTTACAGCTTTTGCCCTACAATTTCAAACAAGAAAGAGCTTGAGTGGCATACTTGTCATTATGACTTGGGCAACTGCTTCGTAAAGTTTGTGTGGTGTTTGAAGATAGTCTGTATAGGCATGATGCTCATGAGGATTAAGTAGAGTCAGTTGATAGAAGTGGTGAAAATGATAATGAAATCACATAATGTTAACATTAATAAAATCGGGCCCGGCGCGGTGGCGCAAGTGGTTAAGGTCCTTGCCTAGCACGCCCGGGATCCCATATGGGCGCCGGTTCTAATCCCGGCAGCCCCGCTTCCTTTCCAGCTCCCTGCCTGTGGCCCAGGAAAGCAGTCGAGGACGGCCCAAAGCTTTGGGACCCTGCACCCGCGTGGGAGACCTGGAAGAGGCTCCTGGCTTCGGATCGGCATAGCATCGACCGTTGCGGTCACTTGGGGAGTGAATCATCGGACGTAAGATCATCCTCTCTGTCTCTCCTCTCTGTATATCCGCCTTTCCAATCAAAAAAAAAAAAAACATTAATAAAAACGATACTAAGGTGAAAATTGAAACCATTCCAAGTTTCACCTGGTATTTCCTTTTGTCTGTTACATGTACAGCAGAGTATTTACTCTGAAATACAGAGTATATAAATTACATATGGTGCCAGTGCATGATAGAGTTTTTCTGAAAGACACTCAAATACAAGCTAAATTCATAAGTAGGCTACTGAAGTTTCTGTTTCATGCGGCAAATACATGACTTTAATATATATAACTATAATTGTAATGAGGGTCGTTAGAGTATCTGTGGCATATCCGAAAAGTAGAACATCAAAGTGCTGGTCGTATGTATTTTTAAATCACAGATACACGTATAAGTATAAACATTTTCTTTTTATTTGGACTCATGTTCTAAGGTGAAATGTGTTTACAAATTGGGATGACTAGATAGTTTCAACACAGTAGCATGCTATTGTACTGATTTGAACCTATATAGCTCATTCATTTGCAGTGTCATCTGAATTATCCAATTTAACAGAAGACATGGATTAAACCGAAGCTCATGTGTGCCTTATAAGAAAGACATGTTGTAATATTAACAATTTAGCAATATTTTGTGACTTGTAAGGGTTAAGTGGTCATATTTCTACAGCTGCAGATGTAAGGGCTCTGCCCAAAGCAAATCAGACACGTGTGTACATCCATGGGTATAAGAGCAGCAACAACGGGAAAACGTTTCCTCTTATTGGTATATTAGAAATAATATTCCTATCTTGGGTCCTAGTGTCAGTCACACCAATCCCTGCATTATTTTTTCTTAAATTCTCTTTTTATTAGCAATCCTGCTAGAATTGATAATAGCAGCTTTACTTCATCCAACTATACTAGAAAAAAACTTCCTGCCAACACACCAGACTGTTCCAATCTACACTGATTATTAGGATGTCATAATTTATTTGGCACAGAGAACTGGATACAGGCAATAAGGAGACTGTAATGTGTGGACAAAACTGGACTGATAAATAATCATGGTAGAAAGTTTGAAGGAGGTTTTGTTTTACAGAAAGCAAAAGAGAAAATCAAAGTTATGTTTTATAAGACATAGAAGAAAAGTGAGATTAAAATCAAATGTAAAAGGAGATTCACAAGATAAACTTAAGCAATAGTTATAAACTTAAACTATATAAACCACACTTTGTGCAATTTGTAACACTACAATTTCCGAGGAAATTTCACTCCTTGGTTATGTTTATATCTATATTATAAGGGGGTTCAAAAAGGTCATGGGATGTGCAATTAGAAGATCATCACAATATAAACTTTTAAAAATGTTGCTTAAATGTTTCATAATAGCCATATTCTATAGCTATTTGAAGACTCCTAACACAGATATGAAGCGAGAATTGGATTTGTGTCCATTTAGTTTTGCATTCATTTCCAAAGTTTACGGCATCACTGCGGCTTAGACCTCTTCTGATCCTTTTTTGATACAGAGCTTCAGGATTTTGTCTCGAATCTGCTTGGTTTTCACCACATACACGATAGGGTTCATCACAGGAGGAATGAGGAAATGCATGTTGGCGATGGCCACGTAGATGTGTGAAGGAAGTCTTGGCCCGAAGCGGTGCAGCATGGACAGACAGATCATGGGTGTGAAGAAGAGGATCACAGCACACAGGTGGGAGATGCAGGTGTTGAGAGCCTTGAGACGCCCACCACCAGATGCTATGCCCAGGACAGTTTTCAGGATCAACACATATGAAAGGAGAATGAGGATAAAATCGAGTCCCATAGTGGACAGCACCACAAAGAGTCCAAAGGCACTATTGATCCTAGTATTGGAGCAGGATAGCCTGATGATGTCAGGATGTAGACAATAAGAATGAGAAAGAACATTGGAGCGACAGAAATGCAGCCTCTTCAAGAGGATAGGGAGGGGCACCTGCACAGTCAGTGTTCGGACAACAATAACCAAACCTATTCTGGCAATTATGGGACTGGTGAGGATGGAAGAATAATGCAGTGGACGAGAAATGGCCACATATCGGTCAAAAGCCATTACCAAGATGATTGCTGACTCCAAAACCTGGAAAGTATGAATAAAGAACATCTGGGTGAAGCAAGCCAAAAATGTCAGCTCTCGAGCATCCAGCCAGAAGATCCTCAACATGGTGGGGAAAGTGGAAAGGGACAGACCCAGGTCAGAAGCAGCTAGCATGGCCAAGAAGAGGTACATAGGCATATGGAGGGTTGGCTCCTGCCAGATAACTGTCATGATGGTCATATTGCCCACCAAGGTCATGAAGAACATAATACAGAAGGGTATAGAAATCCAGACGTGCCCAGACTCCAGCCCAGGAATACCTGTCACCAGGAAGGTGGAGAAGAGGAAGCTGGTACTGTTAGAGGAGTCATGATGCCAGGGCTGCATGTCTTTCCTGGGAGTAAATGTGTTGTCCCTGAAAGAGATGTTGTTATTTGACTTAGACCTTTATCTGACTGCACATCATCACGTTAATATGAGGTTACAATGTTTCCCAACATATAGCACAAGAAGCTGTGCAATAGCTATCAAGATTTACTTGGTTAAATCCCCTTGATTGTGTGCTTTATAGAAGAGAAAATTTTAGCATTATACCCCTTAATTTTAATTTGCCCGAGTCGTTTAATTGCTCTAGAGATTTTTTAAATTAAAATACTAATATATATTATATAATAATTTAGATATACTATTCCCACTATATCAATATCTGGATCTCTGTTCTTTCAATTACATGCAGTTAACCTTTTTTTGTCTATACTGTTGAGTGTAAAATTCTAAAAACAATTCATGACTTTTACGTCATGCAGTACTGTGAGTGGTATGATGCAATGTTACATTGGTCTGGTCTGTCATTTGGGGACATTCGATATGAACTTTCCTTTTCCCAGTCACCTGTTTTCTTGCCTATCAGATTAATTATTACATAAAAATGTCCCAGATACAGGAGTAGCTCTATTAACAACTTGAATATGCCAAAGAGAAACCTTATAATGCTTCTCTTAAGTGAAAAAGCTGGAGTTTCTCAACTGGTTAAAGTGAGGTGCATTGCTGAGGTCGTTAAGATGATGGGAAGGGCAAACTTAATCATGAATAGGAAAGAAAAAATAGATCTATGCTAGTTTTGCTACTGCACCTAGAGCTGAGGAAATTATAACCACAGTGATGTTATTTAAGATGTAAAAGCTATTATATTTATCATTGGTGTGTATGTATAAGAAAAAAGCATGTATTAAACAGCATCAAGTACTATTCATGATTTCAGGCGTTCCCAAGGGTTCTGAAAGCATCCTTCTTAGATAAGCTACTACGGAGTTCAAGTGAATGTTGATACAAATTCATAGCTGTTAATATAGCTACACTAACGAATAATGGCGAGGGATTTTTCTTACTGCCATTGTAAATAGTTATTGATTTAGGTCAACATTGGCATGAATATTTTTAGAGCTATTCAATACATTTAATTTTTACATTTGCCTTTAAATTGAATTTAGTGATGTAGCGAAGATGTAAGCCACAATTCTTAGATACTTCTAACAGTAAGAAAACTGACAAATGTTCAACTACAAATTACAATATGAAAGCGGTAAGACCATTTTCATGTCTTAGGTTACCAAAAGTTATTCTTTATGAAAAGCAACTACAGTTATCTTAAATGTTCCTTTGATGCACAGAGTATTTTTCAATTATCCCTGTTTAAATGATATACTTGGTACGAAGATTATCAGAGAAAACCAAAAGTGATAATAACAGCAGAAATAATGGAAGGTTTTCCTTTAATGTCTTGCTGTCTCCCTGTGTGAGTATGGGAAAGACTGATAAGGATCTTATCTCTTTGTCTGCTTTAATTTTATCATGTCATTCAATTTTTTATGATCTCAGTCTGTATTAACTTACATACTTACATAACTTACATAACTTTAAGATCAAAAACTTTTTGCCTAGTGGCTAAAGTCCTCACCTTGAATGCAGCAGAATCCCATATAAGCACTCATTGTATCCGGACCATTCCACTTCCCTTCCAGCACCCTGCCTGTGACATGGGATAGCAGTCCAGGACTGCCCCAAACCTTGGGACCCTGCACCCACGTGGAAGACCTGGAGGAAACTCCTGGCTGCTGGCTTCAGATCAGCTTAGCTCCAGTTGTTGTGGGCACTTGGGAGACAAACCAGGGGAGGAAAATCTTTCTCTCTGACTCTCCTTCTCTCTGCAAATCTGACTTTTCAATAAAAATAAGTAAATCTTTTAGAAAAGAAAAAAATAGATAAGGGTTACTGAAAATCTATGTTTTATTCTTGAAAATAGGTTTGGCCTCAGATGCTTTATTGATAGTTTTAAATTGCAAATTGCAAATTTTGTTTTGAAAGATAAAGAAGGAGGAAGGCAGAACTAAGAAAATAATTCTTTAATAATTCTTTTGCACTGTGATCTGTTACCATCCAAGGTAACGGGTGTGATCTAAAAATGCCTTCCCCATGTTATCTCCTATCCTTGGATTTAGATCATCTTTAAATTACTCTTTGGTTAGTTGATACTCTCTCCACTGAAGACACAAGCACAGATAGTCCTGTCCTGATCTCATCAAAGAATATCTTCACTTCACTTCCTTTTATTTGGCCTAATAATGTTTCGAATGCCTCTGGTTCTTCAATAACAAATTTAGAATAGTTTGCAGATAGGCACAACCTCTGGATCAGTGTGATTCTTTGATTTACAGCTAGAGTTTGTCTACTTACTTATTCAAAGTCTCTTAATTTCTTTTTTCTTTCCCAAATGCACGCAAAATATTTTCTCTTTTTTTATTTCAACTGTAATGACAGGGTGGAATGCTTGCTAAAGTCCTACAGAGAAGGCTTTTTCTTCCAAGTCTCACATCCAATACACCCATGGCACAGTTTGAGCTTCCCTATAATGCATTCAATTCTCTCTTGAGGATCGTGGTCTTCAGGGATTTCCTTTCTTCCTCATCTGAAATACACCTTGTACTGTTGCCTATGAATGTTCCACAAATATGTCATGTGCTTTTTATATTGAGTGGCATGTGACTCTTTCCAAAATTCATCCTAAGAAAAATATGCATTAACTACATTTTGGGATTACTCATATATTATTTAAAACACTTTGAGAATTATTAAAAACTCATGTACCAAAGATAGCTCTTTGAATTTTACTACTGTAGAATACACTGCTAAATATATTAGATACTATCTTAGAAATTTGGTATTATAAATAATATCTGCTTTATTATTATTTCTCACTCAACTCATTCACACACATTATAGTACACTTCAAACAAATACATACATGTGTCCATATGTCAAGGGAACTTCTGTTATGTAGTTTCAAGTAAAAATAAAGATATGATATTTGAGACACAATTTACAATATAAAGCCACAGTTTATTGATAATTATAGGAGTGACAAAGCAGTAGATTCTTTTCTTGAGAAATGATTATTTTTATTGGAAAGGTCAATTTACAGAGAGAAGGAGAGACAGATTAAGATATTCCGTCCAGTGACTAACTCCCCAAATGGTCACAACTTCTGGAGTTGTGAGCTTATCTGAAGCCAGGAGCCAGGAGCTCCTTCAACGTCTCCCATGTGGGTACTGGGGCCCAAGGCTTTGGGACATCTTCTGCTGCTTCCCCAAGCCACAAAGAACTGGGTGAGAAAAGCAGCAATGAGGACAATAAGCAGGACCCACATAGAATGTCTGTGCTTGCGCAAGGATGATTAGCCAGTCCTAGTAGATTATTTTTATGAAGAATTATGCTTTAAAATTTAAAGGTAAATATAATGCACATTATCATTTACTTTTTCACTTATACAATAACAGTTTTCTCCTCACTCAACCCAGTAAGCCATTATTATACTTGAAGAGACTTAATTTTTTTTTTTCAGTTTTTGACCCCATTAAGTTTTTGATCCCATTATCAGGATCAAAAGGTCACCATGGACTAGTTCATTTTTTCCTTTTGTGATAGTTATAATATTCTGTCAACTGTTGTGATAGTTATAATATTCTGTCAACTGTCATCTGTTAAATGATGTCCAGATTGCTAGCAAACATTTCCAGATATATCTACCTGAAATTTACAGAGTAGCATGTGTGTTGATTAACCCCATAAAAAAGATGGTTCTCTCCATTGCAGGCAGACATCATCCCATCTGTTGAGGAAACGAATGCAGTGAGGACATGCAAGAAGGGTGAATATTCTCTCTGTATCTTGCCTGACCCATTTACCTTCTCATGTCCTCTGATACAGGTACTTCTGGCTCCTTGGTTTTTACACTTGAATCTGGACTTAGCATCAGCTCACTTATATAGAAAAACAATTGATAGAAATGACTTACCTGAAATTACTTCCTGGTTGGTAAAACATTTCTGTCTATGGCTAATTTAAAGCCTGAGGAACTGTGTAGTCACAAGGTAATAACACTGTGAAACTGAAGCCACTGACGTATGCAAAATGCAATACTGCAGGCAAAGATGTGCTGTTCAAAGACAAGGAGTATTTTGTCATTTTGTAGGTATTTTTACAGTGATTTTTACTTATGCAATTGAATGTGACATGGAAATATTCATTGCATTTGTAATTTGTTAGCTCATTAAATTGTGTTTACAAGATGAAAGCAATGAAATGGATAATTTCCTTTTTACTCAAAAAAAATGACATCCCATTTCATTTTGGGAGAATAGCACATTAAGAAAGGGGGACAAGGGAACAAGGAAAAATATTCTTATACAGATGATTCCTAAAAGAAAGACAGATCTTAGATGAGGTATTCAGACTTAATATGATCAGTCATCTCTGCAAAAATGCAATTTTTTAAATGTTGATACATGAAACACACTAAGGCCTAACAGAGAGAACGTCAAATAAATGTTATATAATTGTTGGCAAATCCAAACTACTTCATGTATAGCTCGTATTTGCATTAATGACTGTGTCTGCACTTGAGACCCAGCAGTCAACAATAACCACAGGACAGGGCATCATCATGGAATCTGACATTTGACACATCATTTAAGATGCAGCCTGGAATACCCATGTGCCATGCTTTTCTTACTTCTCTTAAAGAAGAATTTTTTCTACTTACAATATAATTCACCCCGTGAAAGAATAAGCTTGTGATTATAGAATAAATTGAAAGTATGACATTATAAAATTTAAGGAAGAATTAACAAAAGACAGGGGAGAGAGGATGAGGATATTGGAAAGAGGCAGGACCATACACTGGAAAGTATCAGTACAGTCTCAGATCTGTACATGTGAAATGCAGGACATTTTATCACTTTTATAGATAAAACAATTTGTAAAAGCAAAAAAAAATAGCTATAGCAGATGGATTTTGTGATTATGACATTATTAGGAATATACTATATGAAAAGCTTCCCAGAGTTTGAATTTAGTGAGGAAAGAATTCTTTAAATCAGCATATAAATCACCTTTGCAGTGATTAAAATATCTATTTCTTAATTTTTCCTGTTGTTTCTGTAAAGGTGTATCCACTTGCTAAAACTAGAGAACTGTACACATAGAAATAATTGCACTTTGCTTATTTAAATTATACCCCAAACTGGTCCTTGATAAAAGATAAATAACTATGAATTTTAAATGATTTATTTATCGACTTACAGAGAGGAGGAGAGACAGAGAGGAAGATCTTCCATCTGCTGATTCACTTCCCAAGTGGCCACAACAGCCATAGCTGTGCCAATCTGAAGCCAGGATCCACAAGCTTTATCGGGACCTCCCAGGTTCCCCAGGCTTTCGGCCATCCTCGACTGCTTTCCCAGGCCACAAGCATGAAGCTTGATGAGAAGTGAGGCAGCCAGGACATCACCCAGTGTCCATTTGCGATCCAGACACTTGAAGGGGGAAGATTAGCCAATTAGAACCTTGTGCTGGGCCCAATAACTATGAAATTTATGATTTAACATTGTTAAGAGGATTTTGAGATGCAAAAGAAACATTTTGTCACGGTAGAGGGAGGAGCAGGGCAACATGTGAAGGGAACTGGTTTACAGGGCCATGGTGAATGGTATCCTGTTGAGAAGGTTGGACTCAGCAGTGCTTCCTAATGACTTGCCTGCAAAGACTCATAGTTTCTGAATATTAACTAACCATATTCTATTTTAAAATATAGGTTTGACGTAAGCTTAATCTGACCTATATACATATCTGTTTGGATACTTTGAAATGCCAGTCAATTTACAAAAGAAATGAACAATTCAAATGGACACAGGTAAAAATGCTTCCCACTAATTTTTGCTATAACAATAGAAATAGTAATTTCAACTTAGCATCTTCCAACTTTTGTTGATATATATCGATTTAACCTTTTGCAAGGAATTTTGGCAGCAGTTGGAAGCATTAAATGTGTATATTCTGGCATTCTTTTCTACAGAAATGCACTCACAAGTGCAGACAGGACATATTGTGAGATAGGCTCATTATGGCTGTGGAATGTAAGCTTGTAATTGTTGAGGTTAGCTATGTTACATTGTAGCACATCATTATTCTTTAAGGCATAGTACCTTTATGAAAAACTGCTTGCAAATGAACAAGAAATGTCTTGAAAACCTCAACTTGACCAGATATGATTCAACTTAAAACCCTTTAAAGTTGTGTCACAAAAAAAGCAGGCTTTATTTTAAGAAATGAACACATTTGTCATCACCAGAAAGAGGCATCTTTAAATTAAAATAATAGTTTAAAAAATAAAACCTCAAACTGCATGGATAATGAGGACAATTCTAGCGATCTGGTCAACGGGCAAAAAGCAAGCCCTTAAGGTCTTCAGCTCCCATCTTCTGTTCTTGTTGAATGAGTAAAGGATATGATGGCAAGGAGGGTCCCTCGCCTGTCCCAGCGTTTGCCCAGCCATTTTCTTCACCAATTTCTTAGCTGCTGGTTAGGCTGCTTTTTCTCCTTGCTCTCTGGTAGCTTAGAGTTACCTGGGCGTCCGCGCTGAGAACTGAAGCTCATCAGTACTGATTCTGAGTGGGCCGCTCACCCTGTGTCTCATCTCCTTGATGTTCCCCCATTCTCTTTATTGCTATCTTTGCCAGGCAGACCTCTGCGGAATCATAGTCTATAACCCTGATACATTTCTGTCTCGCTGGTCTAACTTGCTCCGCACCCTGCTGGTTGGCACCGCCCATCACTGCTCCTTTCACAGGAGGGTTGCAATAGAATGGTCCTCATCCATAGGGTCTCTGCAAATGGTGAGATGGGAGCCTTTGCCTGCCAAATGGCCTGTTTTGCTAGGTTGGGCCTTTAGGAGCCTCTCTGATCCCTGAGTCCTTTTCCCCTTTCTCACTGTTCTGGTAATACATGGAGGGCCCCCGTGACTCGCACAGCTTCTGTAGTGGTTAAGGTCAGCTGTGTATTCACTGCCTTGCACTGGAACCCCATCAGGGCTTACAACAGAGGCAGCCTCCACACCCTGTTCTCTTCTGACATCATCAGACTCCACGGGCTCTCCTATCTCCTACACTGGGAAGGCACTTTCTGGGGTCACTTGGGTTTAGGTAGTCTGGTGTGCAAATATGTCTTCCTTAATATCATTCCTCTCAATGAAATCATATCCATTTTTCACGTTGAACTATTTTGCATTTCCCAAAACTTTCCTTGAGAGGACGTTTTTATCCCCGCCTGCAGGGGACGCTGCCAGGGCCGTCACTCCGTGCGCAGCAGCTGGTTGTTCAGGGGCTTGGTTTCAACTGCGGCTTCTTGCAGTCTCTGAAGGCAAGGAGGACTGCGGTGGCTGCGTGGCTGCTCAGGGCTCTCTGCGGGGCCACTCGATGCTCCCACTACTGAAACAAGAACTTTTGGAAGCTAAGAGAGATATTTTTACACTGCACAGAAACATGTCTGATTTTTCCTTTAATAACTAGAGAATTATTGTTTTTTTTTATTTGAAAGGCGGATCTATGTATGTGTATATTATGTATATACACACACATATGGGAAAAAGAGAGGACTTTTATTTGCTGGCTCACTGCACCAACTCCCACAATAGCTGTGTCTGGGACAACCCAAAGACAAGCACTGGAAGCTCTACCCAGGTCTCCCATATCATGGCAAGGACACAACCATTTGAGCCATCACCCGCCACCTTCCAGGGTATGCATCAGCAGGAAATTGGAATTAGAAGCAAAGCAGGGACTGGATCCTAGGCACTCTATTATGTATTTTGGGCACCCCATCTGATGTCTCAATAGCTGTGCGAAAATCCATGAAAGAAAACCCAGGTACTAAATGACCTTAATATTATCCATCTAGGAAAACATTGAGACATAATTTTATTCCATTATCTCTGGGGAAATGAGCAAGTGTCTTTATTCTAAAATTACAGGGAACATTTTGTATATTTTAAATGTTGTCAGCATGTATGCATCTACATGTATATATTTATTATAGTAACTATTTTAAAGAGTAGGATTTTATTTGCTAATGAGTTTGACAGTTGTGTTTGTCTAAGCATAGCTGCTAATTGTGTGCTTGCACTTGTTGATTTTCATTGCAATAAAGGAAAAAATTGTTCAGACCTACTATCTGACAACATTAAAGTTGTTTTTCTGTCTTAAAACTTTCTGAAGCATGCTTCTCCCCTCTGTCCCTATCCCCTGAGGGGAGAGTGGATTTCAGCTTCCTGGCTGTAATAGTTGGGAACTCCCAAAGCTCTTCTACATCTCCTGGGAGATGCCTGAGCATCTGGACTATTCCCTCTTGCTGGTCTGTGAAAGCATCATTACAAGACCAAAACCTTGAAGCCAGCTTTCCTTCACACTGAGAATGTCACAGTGCAGGGCCAGCCAGACAGCGGCTACATTGGAGTGTGAAAAAGACCTGCTCAGAGAGAAGTCTTTCAGAGCTAAGTAACTTCAACTGCAATTGGAACTGCAGGAAAACTCATTCAGGTAAACTGATATAACTACAAGCAAGTTTCATTAAAAATAAATTAAAATTAGAGTTCATATGCAATAAAAAAGCAGTTTTCCTAGATACCAACGGCTACTGTTGTGAAGTTATGATATGTAGGAATTGAATCTTAAATGGTTTCGAGAATTCTCAGTTTAATTGATAGTATTTTAAAGTTAAATTATTAAATAAATCTAATCAACAGTTATTGAATTCATCAACAATTTATTCATAATCAGTATTTGTATAAGTGTTTATATACTAAATTATAGAATGACAAATTTCAGGTATTTTGTTTGTTTACTTTGCTTTTTCCTGTGTCTGAAACAAGCATGTCATGAGTGTAATATGAAAACACTCACCAGATTTGAGTAAACCAGCATGTCTGGGTTTTCAGTTTTTCACGCTGAACCCTGGAGAACAGTATGAAGGACATTTTTTGTTGTTTTTATCGTTTTGGCTCTCTCATTAATCGAAAGAACTTTTGAAGAAGCTAAGTTCATGTAAATATGATATTTGTTAAGACACTCAAATAGGTATTTTTGTTTTGGAAACATTAGCATTCAATCCACAAATTAAATTCAGCCAAAACACACAGAATTGAACTGGGTGAAGAGCTAGTCCACTACTGCTTCAGAGTTGTGTGGCTTTGACTCTGAGTTATCGATTTTAGACAGTTGTAACTATGATTACAAATTCTTTTCAAAGTCATTGTTTTGTACAGATATTATTTCTGTATATAGAGAATGTATTTGCCTTTTCCTGATACTTTTCTTTTCAAAATGCTCTCAAATATCCCTTTTCAGTGTAGTCCATATATTCTGAAGTTCAAATATGTGCAATAGGTTAGCTACAGAAATTCATTTGGTATATGCCTCTGATGCAGATCTCAGCTTAGCCAAGTGGCTGGGCCTGAGCCAGGTTGAACCTAGGAGCCCAAAGCTTCTGCCAGAGCTGCCGCATGGATGCAAAGGCCAGTCACTGGGCCTTCTTTCTCTGCATTTTCAGGCGATTAGCAAGGAGCTGCAATGTTTTATGGTACCCAGATTTTGAACTGGCACCCGGGCGGGATGCTATCATCACAGGAGGCAGCTTTACCCACTCTGCTGCAATGCTGGTCCCTTTCATCATATGTTACAATAAGACTTACTGTGCGGCTTTGACTTCTCTCTCCTATGGGCATTCTAATTTAAAAAGCAATAATAAAGAATTTCCAGTAAATCAGAGTGATACACTGTGACAATTTGCAAGTGAATTTATTCTGACTGAACTTGAGGAGGCACAAGTACACCAAATAGTTCAATTGCTCATATGCTTTTGGATTTATTTAGACAAATTATTTCACAGACAATTTATTTGTATATTACCATCTTACATTCAAATAAATATGCACTTACTTCATCACTGATGTACAAATATGTGGAAGATACCAAATGATCTTTAAAAAAATTAAATGCTACCTGAAAATCAAACATATATATGTGTGTGTGTGCGTGTGCATATGTATACACAGACACCTATACAAAAGTGTGTATACATACAAACGTGTTTATATATGTATACACACAAATATATGTGTATATTTGTGATATTCAGCTGAGTTATCTTCTCTAAAGTCATTTCTTCTAGTTTGTTAAAAATACAGTACATAATCTACAGCCACACTACTGTATAACAGTGTACACCAACATATCTTTCTTCTACTTACGGCTTACTCAACATTAACTAAATTTTCTTTATTATAATCTTTCACAACTATTTTTCCTATTTTTGATAACTACCATTCTATGATCCACTTCTATAACTTTTTTGGGTTACACATATGAATGAAATCATGTACTTGTGCTTTATGTCTAGATTATTTTATTTAGTGTGTGAATTGAAGCTGGGAGTCAGGAGGTTTCTTGGGGTTTTTCACATGGGTGGGATAAGGGGCCTTAGGACAATGATCCTTAGGTTGTTCTCTGTTGCTTTGCCCGGCCATAAGCATGGAAGCTGAGAAGCAGGGCCAAAGATCGGTGCCCGTAAGGATACCATCCTCACAAGCAGAGGCTTAGCTTACTTTGCTATGGGTACCAGCCCCATTTATTAGGTTTAAAAAAAAATAGTTTTTTTTTTTTCCCTAGTGCTAAAAAATTTGAAGGCCAAGGATGGGAAACAATATCTCAGAAAAATAGACGGGGTGAAATCTGAAAGCTAATCTAAATTTAAGTTGTAGAGAAAATTCAGAAGAAAAATTTTTTTTTATTCCATTTAGTGCAAGTAACAGTCATTAAATGAATGACGTGACTCATTAATACTATTTCTGAAAAAAAAATACAAGGAAGAGTTGTAAGTTTGGGAAAGGGTTTAATTAACCCTGGTGCTTAGAACGTATTGTCTGAACTTCCTGTGGCAGACTTGAGTTGAGACATCTATAACTTAGTGAAATAAGTATATTCAAAAAAGCCATTTCTACAGTCATTTGTGTATCCTCTGGGGGAAGTTTTGGAATGCAGTGAAGGCTTGGGTAAACTTAGACTGGAAGAAATTTTGTGTTTCAGAATAGAAGAGACTCATTCTAGAAGTAGTGAGAATTTAGGATGTTTTCACACGTCTGTTTGTAACTAAGTTCTCCATACCTCTGAGAAACTATGACATTGTCTTTCCTAGAATTAAATAAAAATGAGATCAGCTTGTGGTACTTTGTGTTTGTTTTTTTTCACATACCATAAGCGATCCATTGAAGCCTCACGTCTTCAAATTATATTTAATAACCCACTCAATAATGAATATATATTTTAAATTATAATTTCTTTTGCTATTGTGAGTAAAATCTTCATGAAAATTTTCTGTAAATCTATGTATTTTCATTTTTCACTATGATATTATAAATAATTGGTGGATGTCATTAAACATGATAAATCCAAAATTTTTAAATTATTTATTATTTTGATAATCTTTACGTAGTTGATTAAGGCACAAATGATCAAGGGCTATAGGAAAGTGGGTAAGACCATTGTTTTCACATTATTACTATCATTTTTTTTTTCTAGACCTGGGGTAAGAGGAGAGACAAAGGGAGAAGCCCCACCCAGTCTCCCACCAATCCCAGGCCCCTGATGTGGGGCATGCTCTGAGGGCACTGCTCAAGTGGTTTTGATAGTCCAACAATTCTGAATTGCTGCTAATCTCGCCATTTCAAACACGATAAAATCAGTCCAGAATCCACTGGCTGACACAGTCTACTATAGAGTCTCTGCTTGCCCAGATTTTCACTGCCAACACATGTCTGGGGTAGATACCACTTTGTTCTCTTCTCTGTACTGTTGTGGTGCCAGGTGTCCTCTGCAAGTTCCAATGGACTGCCATATCCTCCATGTGCACCTGGATATGGTGTCCACTGCTCTGTCTGAGCCTCTGAAGAGGCTCAGCTTTGACATCTGCATTCCATCATCTGATCTCAGAAGCAAAGCAGGGTTGGGCCTGGGTACTTGGATGGGAGATAAATCCAAATTTAATCCTTAGAAAGCCATCAAATTATTTTCCAAAGATGCTGTTATGGCTTTTTCCTTCATCAACAAGGAATGGAAGTTTTTTCACATTGTCACCAGCACATGCTATTTCCAATTTTTGAATTTCTTGCTATTCTAATGGAATTTTATTGTAGTTTTCATTCATGTTTTCCTAATAATTACATTAGAGTTACCTGTATGTGTAATTTTAAAGATTGTTTTAATTATTTTCCATAATAATTTTATGAATACAGGGATGCTTCCCTTTTCCTTTCTTTATATATTATAGTAGTATAGTCCATTAGTAACAGTTACAAATTTAACAGGCTGCTATTTAAGTGCATCATGGCATTATAAGGTATAGACAAAGGTAGAAAATCTAGTATCAAATTTCCAAGTGGGAGCCTTCTTTTTATTTAGACTTAGAGATGCTCCCTGGTATGTAGTGATTTCTGAGTTGGGTTGGAGTTTCCCTAACACAGAATTTATCTTTTATAGGTTTGATGATACCCTGAGCTGCACCTTATTGACATCTCAGCATGCTGGCCTTAAATACCACTTCGACTTGGCCCACGTTTTCTTTCATCGGTATTCCTGGTTTGGAGGCTGCTCATATGTGGATCTCCATCCCCTTCTGTCTGCTGTACCTGGTGGCTCTAGCTGGTAATATTCTTCTCCTCATGCTAGTTCGAACAGAACAGAATCTTCATGAGCCCCAGTTTTATTTTCTGGCCATTTTAGCTCTTACTGATCTAGGCCTCTCCTTGTCTACAATGCCTAGTGTCTTAGCTATATTCTGGTTTGATGTCCACCAAGTTGGCCTGAATGCCTGCCTGGCTCAAATGTTCTTTATTCACACTCTGTCCTCAGTGGAATCAGGTATCCTGGTGGCCATGGCTTTTGACCGTTTAGTAGCCATCTGTGCTCCACTCAGCTATACCAGGATCCTAACCCATTGCACTGTTGCCTGCCTGAGTGGAGCCGCCCTCCTTCGAGGTGCCACTCTCCTGGCTCCTCTACCGTTTTTCCTCAGGACATTTCCATTCTGTGGGACCAATGTCCTCTCTCATTCTTACTGCTACTACCCTGATATGTTGAACCTGGCCTGTGGGGACGTCACGTTCAGTAGCATCTATGGATTGATCTGTGTGCTTTGCACATTTGCATTGGATGCTCTCTTCATTCTAGCTTCCTACATGAAGATCTTGGGCACTGTTATGAAACTAGGAATCCAAGACGGAAACTGGAAGTCACTGCACACCTGCGCCTGTCACCTGTGCACAGTGCTCGTGTTTTACCTGCCCCTCATCAGTCTTGCTGTGCTGCATCGTTACACCCAGGAGACTTCTCCAATTCTGTATACAAGCATGAGCAATGCATACCTCCTCATGACACCACTGTTAAACCCCCTGGTCTACAGCCTCAAGTCCCGGCAGATCCAGACTGCTCTGCGCAAGCGATTTGGGGTGCAACGGGTTGTTGCTGGGGAGTGAGATTTTCTCTGAATCTTAGGTTCCAATCCACTCAAGAAGGACATGGGATTTCTGTGATTTACCAAGTTACTGTACTAGAAATGGTATATTCAAAGGGAAAATATGCTCAGGTTTTATGCTCAAGAAATAAGCAATCTAAGAAGAGGAAGGCAGAGTGCTATGAGCACTTATGTGAAGTCATCCCCTGATCATAAATGTTGGTTGGTTGAAGTGAAGAAATAGAGAACTCAAGCTCTAAGTTTCTGACATACAAGTTGGGTAAAGATGGATTTCCCACACAGTTAAGCTGAGGGGTCTAACTCTTATTTATAAGTGAATAAGGACTGATTTTAGAGAGAATCCAAAAAATTGCAAAGGTTCTTGATTTCCAAAGTTATCTAATGAACGGTATTAAAATTTTTGAAACCGAAGGTGAGTTTTGTGGAAGTGTGTCAGGCTTCCATTTGAGATGAATGCTTCTGACATAAAATCCCAGCTGAAAAACATAGTTGCAATCTTCAGAAATAATATGTACCACTATTGAAAACAGAGCATTAGCCAACTGTGTATCAAGTACAATTAGTGGTATTGAATTCGACTTAAATTGCTGTAAGAATGCTGAAGAAAATGATGGAATGATGTCTGGGTTGGCTATGAGCTTCCTGGAAGACTGAGAAATTCTTGAATAAAAAGAGCAGAATCTTAGGGTGAGGTTTTGTTTGTTTGTTTGTTTTGTTTTGTTTTTGCCAAGCTATTGCAATACTAACATCCTCTTAAAGTTTCTAGGTTTGAGTACTGTGTGGGCTCCTCGTTGCAGGTTCCTAATTCATTCCTTAGAGATATCAGATAATGTCCCAAGTTGCATCACCACTGCCCATGTGGGAAACCCAGATTTAATTCTGGATATTTGGGTGGTGAACCAATGAATGGCATTTGGATAATGACCCAAGCAGGGGAGCTTTCTTTCTGCTCTCAACAAAATAATGAATAAATAATTTTTTTAAAATGATGGAACTATCTCAGTTCTGAAAGTGTTTGCTTCATTGTGATTCAATGGCTATAAATAGGATGGAAGGAGTTACATTTAAATATATATATATATATAAGCATATATATATACACACATATATGTATGATCTTTTTTTAAAAGATTTATTTTATTATTTTTATTGGAAAGGCAGATATACAGAGAGCAGAGACAGAGAGGAAGATCTTCCGTCCGATGATTCACTCCCCAAGTGAGCACACGGTCGATGCTATGCCGATCCAAAGACAGGAGCCTCTTCTGGGTCTCCCACGCATGGGTGCAGGGTCCCAAAGCTTTGGGCTGTCCTGGACTGCTTTCCCGGGCCACAGGCAGGGAGCTGGAAGGGAAGCAGGGCTGCCGGGATTAGAACCGGCGCCCATATGGGATCCCGGGCGAGCAAGGCGAGGACCTTAACCACTGCGCCATCGCTCTGTGCCCTATATATGATCTTTGATCTCAATGGAGATCATATGAGAATATAATGAACATACTAAAAAATAAAATGAAACTTGTTCTCATAGTGCTTTGCAAACTTCTAAAACCCATTGGAGTCACTTTCTTCATGGTGAGAATTCACTATCAGCAGTTTCTTGACACTTACTTTCCTGAACTTGAGTGTGGGGAAGTGGGAGTCATTATTCAGCATCCTCTTATCTTTTGAAGACAGAAGACAGTCTTCCTCTGAGGAACTCCTCACTCCTTTGTCTAGCTTGAATGAAATCAATGATATCAATATTCTTACCAATTTCTCTTTTGATCTTTCACATACAGAGATTTAAAATTGACTCAAAGTGTCTGTTTTATTGCAGAACTATACAGTATGTAAAGAGTTTCCTTTCTAAACAGAATCTAACTTCGGAAAGATACAGAAGCACTTGTCTCATAATCTTTCCTAGCTTTGTGAAGAGTAATACTTCCATGAATTATGAGAAAAATGAGTCAAAACACATGGACAGGAGAAACTGCCTCAGAATTGAAGACAATCCCGAGTATTTTGAATCTTGACATCATCCTTGGGTCTCTGAAGGCTCTCTTTGAATCAGTGACCCAGTCTATTCTTTCACTTTGCAGTTCTTACTTAAGCAAAGTAATACGACCATTTAGGAGCATGTTCTAGTTATATGAAATGGACCATTTATTTAATTCTGCCTTACATTATAATATATTTATTTCTTTCCTACACCATTCATTAAATGATAATTCTCCACATGAGGGCATATCTGTTCCATTTATCTACCTCCTAAAGTGTGAAATGTAGTTAGTGCTCATAGTAATTTTGTAAAGATGTAAAATAAAGAGGAACATACAGGAAATGTGGAAATAAGAGAGGCTATGAATTATCAATAAGACAATTCAGAAATGAATGTCTGCATAACTCGATTAAAATGGACAGAGTAATAAATGTCTGGTTTTGCTTTTTGACAGCAGATTTGAAAACATGATTGACATGAATATAACACGTAAGAGGCAGTATTTGGCCCAACATCTAAGTTGCTGCTTGAGATGCTCAAATCTCATAGCAGAGCTCTTTGGTTCAAGTCTAAGCTTTGCTTCTGATTCAAGCTCTCTACTAATGTCCTCTGTGAGAGACAGCAGATGTTTGCACAGCTGCCTGAGTGCTTGTCACCTGCGATGGACCTGGGCTCAGGTCCCAGCCCCTAGCATCGCCTGACTGGGTCCTGGCTGCTGCAGGTGTTTGAGGAGTGAACCAAACAGAGAGGAGAAGATCACTTTTTGTGTGTGTGTCTTCTCTGCCTTTCAAATAAATAAAAAGTTACATTTTAAAAAACTGAATGTGAATACTGTCCCTGATTTGCAATTAAGTACAGAATATGAAAATGTAAACCATTTGTGTAAGTACAAATTAGGTAAAACTAGTCTGAAATATTTTATATATTTTCAATGTGCAGATTTTAAGGGAAAATATGTAATAACTAGCCTGTACATCTGTGAGTTGTAGAACAATCATGTTATTCTCTGGCTACCCTTGATATCACAATCTTACTGACAGAAGAAATTCTTCTTCATTTTTCTTTAAATCCCAACTCAATTCTTGCCCTCTATCATATTTTGGGGTTCTATATAATGGTTAACATTTATTCTGTATTTACCATTTGCCAGATATTGTTGTAAACATATTACATAAATTATCACTTTTTCTCACATTGTCTGTAGAACTTAAATACTTTTGTTAGTTTTTTCATGGATGGAAATACAGGGGCACATACAACATGAGTGATGTGACAGGTGATTTTTGAGTCAACACATGTATATTTAATGTACTCTGAGGGAACCAGATATACTACTTAGATGGCAAACATTTTTTTGGCTAAAGTTTGTCATTAATATTAGATGGGCCTTAGATGGAGATAACTTAAAACTAAGAATTGTAAACTATAAACAGATTCAAAGAAAATTTATGAAAAACAAGGATTTTTTGCTACTTAGAGACATCTCCTCCCACAATATTTCAAACTGTTTATTGGTAATAAAAATTTGTATGATAGCAAAACTACTTTATCTTAAACTAGACTTGAGACATAGTACTGTATTTCGGGGATTTTTTTTAAAATTTAATAATTCATCTTTGTTTTGAGATAACATTTATTTTATTAAGAGAATTGTTTTCTTGAAAGTCAGATTTACAAAGAGGGAGACACAGAAATGAGACATCCAAGCCCTGGTTCACTATTCCGGGGTCTCTATTCCCACTTGTGAGCATGAAAGCTGGGTTTGGGGGCAAACAGGCTGGCCAGGGCTACAACACCTGTTGCCCTGCATGTAAGCTGGATCAGAGACAAGCCAGGCTGGACACTGTATCTACTGGTACATGCATAAGCCAGAATAGGTGGGAATTGGTTAGGCTTTGCTGCAGCATCAGCTAGCAGGTGCTGGCATGGAGGGAAACCTCTGTCAAGCTAAGCTGCAGTACCACCTGGAGAGTGCATATTTTATGAGAGGGAGAGAGACAGATAAACACACACACACACACACACACACACACACGTAGATGGAGAGAGAAGAGTAATACCATTGGGAACATTAGCACAACTAATAAGTACTCCTGTTTAAATTCGGGCATTGGAACTGGAGTGCCAGATTTGCTCACATTCTCCAGACATCAACACCAAGGTAAACCTAAATAATTGGGTGTTTAGGAATCTGCATGAGTATTGAGGGAACATAATTAATAAGAAAAGGATCTTAAAGATCAGAAATGCTCATTTTCTGAACACTGAGAAGATCTTTGATGTTAAGGCCTAAATAAAGTTTTCATCTTATACTGGGGAACTTTCAACTACCCACATGTGTGTCCACAGTGTCTATTCTGAGAGGTGATGATTCCCAGATATAACTAAAAATACATTTTTGTGACATTTTATTTAATTTCTAGCTAGATGTACACAGAGCTCTAGATTCAAAACCAATAAAAAGAATTTTTTACACAACAAGGAAGCATCAACTCACTCTGCATAAAATCTAGGTTCAACAATAAAAAATACAGCTTTTATTGATCTTTGTTTTATGAACTTTTGCTGTCTTTTTTTTTTTTTCATTTGATATCAACAGACATTTCGAAAAGTTCTTATTTTCTAATGGGCTCACAAATTTTAACAGATATTTCAGTAAACACTCCAGGCCATTCTGGTGCAAAGCACAGCCTAGAGTAAGTATTTTATATAGTATTTTGCTTTATAAATGCAATTAACTTTATATATACTATTTCAGGTAGTTCTAAGAAAAAGAATTTATGTTTGTAAGTGCTTTTTACGCTACATACACTTTCTTCAGTTAACAAATACCTTCATGTGTCTGTTAATAATTCTTGTTTCATTAGTATCTCTGAGAACTTTATTATCTGTTTATAGTTATCATTGATGGACTTTGCCTATTCCACTAGGCCCTTGTTTTAATCTTATTGTGCTACTAATCTTAACATTTCTCTTGCAAGTATAGAAGGAAGATCTCGAATTCCATGTCAAGGCTGACGGAGACTTCTTGTGATTATCCACCTGAAAATGCCCTGGTTAGAGTCTGTTCCTTATTAGGAACAAGCCCTTACTTTGTTTGCAAGATTCAAACAACGCTAGTGTTATTAAACCTTTTTGAAATAGTTTCTTCCATATCTTTAAGGAAAAGACCTCAGCAATATCCTTGTGTGTAGTTTAAACATTTCTAGATAACTAGGTGAAGGTATATATATACAAGAGAAGAAAATGGAAACAAAAATTGGAAGTCAGTCAAGTGGAAAATATATTTTTTTCATTTTTATTGTAATTTTGACAATCTTTACATATTTAATTAAGGTAAAAAAGTTTCAAGGGCTACAGGAAAATGGGTAAGACTGGAAAAGATATTTTGGAAACAGAATTTCAGATACTCCCATCTTCACATGGCATTGTCTTTCCTTGTTCTCAACTATCTTCGAAGATTTTGTGGCATAGAAACTTTACCCACAAACAACTTTGTTTTTCTGCATATTTGATGATGGTTACTGCACAATTAGTTTCGTCTTTTGACAGTTGTCACTCATCTTTGTGCTAGAAAAATGTTGAAATAGATTGTTTTAAAAATATACTTTTTCCTTTTCATTAACTTCTTAAATTTAAATTTTAAATGTATGTCCTAACTAATTATTTTGGGAACTCGGCCAAGATAAGAGAAAAAATATCTACTG